AGAAAGAAGAAACACCCTGCTAACAGCAGAGTTGGAGGAGCTGCGTGGAGTGATGGAGCAAACGGACCATATGCGTAAAGTCGCTGAGCACGAGCTTCTGGAATCCACTGAGAGAGTGAACCTGCTGCATGCTCAGGTAAAACTCAAACATTAATGAAACAACTTAGCAATAATTAAACGTCATGATCAAACCTCTCAATCCATTGATCTGTACAGAACACGGTAGTGTTGAACCACAAGAAGAAGTTAGAGAGTGATCTGTCCACACTGTCCGGTGAGGTGGATGATGCTCTGCAGGAGTGTCGCAATGCCGAAGAGAAGGCGAAGAAGGCCATAACTGATGTGAGTTCCTACTGAAACAACAATAGAGTGCATTAGAGCCTGCCTACTTTTTCGGCGGTGTTGGTTGCAGAAGTTTTTTTTTTTCATTCATTTTTAAAGTTTTTTTCCCCCCTTTTTAAAAAAAAAAAAAAAGTCTTGCTAAGGCATTATAAGCCATGAACCAAGCCAGCCACCTAGAAGGTGAATCACAACATTACAAACTTTTAATAAAAAAAAAAGGATTCGAAATTTGGATAAAAAGACAAACAAGACTGTGTACTTAACAGCTTTAATGAGGGAAAGAACTACAGCCCTGTGAAGCACTGCGAGTGACAATCAATTTAAAAACAATGAAGTTAAATATAAAATTATTAATTTAAACTTCTTAATTATATCTATAGAAACCGTCTATTCATTGCAGTATATATATATATATATATATATATATATATATATATATACAGAGCTCTTTTGGCAAGATTTGCTAGCCGCAACTCAAATTCACACAAATTCCGCTGTTAAACATGATTATTTTAAAAACAAGGTAAAATAACAAATGGCTTCAACAAAAGCATCAATTAACTATGTCAGGTCTCATAACAGGTTCGCCTTTAAATGTTTATAAGTTAGTGTTAAAAATCAGTTACCTTATGGAGAGAATAAGTTTTTACTTCTAAAACCCAACTGTTGCACTCTAATAAAGGTTACCTTAACATTCACATCAAATGACCAAGAGCTCCCATTAGTGGTTTTAACCAAAAGGAAACTACTCAAACAAACCATTTAGGACACCTTAGTAACCTCATAGCAACACCATACCAACCACCCGCAAAACTCTAGCATTATCACGGTGAGGTTGACATGGGCTGAAAATGCAATCATCTATTCTTATCACAACAATGAAGTACAACACTGAAACTTTTTGATGATACTATCTATAACTTTTAACTAAATGTATCCCTCATTAGGCAGCCATGATGGCAGAGGAACTGAAGAAGGAGCAGGACACCAGCAGCCACCTGGAGAAGATGAAGAGGAACATGGAGCAGAGCATCAAAGACCTGCAGATACGTCTGGATGAGGCTGAGCAGACTGCTCTCAAGGGAGGAAAGAAACATATTCAGAAACTGGAAATTCGGGTAAGCAGAAAAACGCCTATTCCAGCTTTGGTCAAGACATGAATATAACATATTTAATGGATTAACCTGCATCTGTGGGAACATTTCAATCCTCAGGTACGAGAGCTAGAGGGAGAGCTGGAGTGCGAGCAGAAGAAGAGTGGAGAAATTCAAAAAGGAATACGAAAATATGAGAGGAGGATTAAAGAGCTGACTTACCAGGTATTACTCACAAGACACACGTGAAACAGCAGGAAAAACTATATGTGTCATCTGCAGTGCATTTAAAAGGCCGTTCTGTCTGTAGACAGAGGAAGACAGGAAAACTCTCCTGAGGATGCAAGACCTGATTGACAAACTACAGGCAAAAGTAAAGAGCTTTAAGAGACAAGCCGAGGATGCAGTACGTATCTCCTGTTCATTTTGCGATATTAACCCAGTAAATACATTTGGGCCAAAATGGTGTTTGAACATAAATACATCACGCGACCTGTTAAACAATATGGCGTTGTCCGTTCTAAAGCCCATTTTAAGGCACACAAATTTCAGCGCTCTGTATCTTACTGTTGTACGGCAGGAGGAGCAGGCCAACTGCAATATGTCTCGGTTCAAGAAGATCCAGCATGAGCTGGATGAAGCCGAGGAGAGGGTGGACATAGCCGAATCTCAGGTCAACAAGCTGCGGGTGCGCACCCGAGAGACTCACGTCGTCAAGGTAACATACAGTAAACTGATCTCAGATACTTAAATAGATCGATCACCCAAAAATGAGATTTCTGTCATCATTAACTCACCCTCTTTCTTCTGTGGAACACATAAGAAGTTATTTAGTTTTTTGTCCATACAGTGAATATCAGAGGGGTCCAATACAACACTGGAACCAATTGACTTTCATTGTATTGACCAAAAAAAAATTTGAGAGTGAGAGAGAAAACACAGAGACTTTTCAAAATATCCTCTTTTCTGTTCCACAGAAAAAAAGAAAGTCATACAGGTTTGGAATGATGAGAATAAAAATGACACAATTTTCATTCTTGGGTGAACTAACCCTTTAAGTGTGAAAAAAATTGAAATAAAAAATAAAAGTGAGTCATAACAAACATACATTTTTGTTCACAGATCGTGGAGTGAAGACTGACTTAAGCCAGATAACTTTTAAGAGTCATGTATCGTGTGACAAGTACCTTTCCTTTCTTTTTGGTCTTTGTAAAATGCTGCAAGGCACAGAGGTTTTGGAAATGTTTAATGCTTACTGAGGGTCAACGCAAACTGATTTTTCTCGTTGTGATTGAAGCCTTCAAAGACAAAATGCTGATTTTCAGATGTCAAATAGTAGTCTTGAAATGTTTTTTTCAAGTGTTTGTTCATATATCCTTCTTGGAAAGGTCTCAGGCTGCAGAGCTCATAATTTGCTGTGTTTTGGAAAATCATAGTTACAGTACAGCTGAAGAACAGCACAAGGAAACAGCTGCATGCCTGTACCTTTCTGTAACAGCTGATTTGGACCCACAGGGCATTTGAAAAGCTATTTGGACATGATAAATAAACAGCGCCTAAATGGAAATGCTTGCATGATCATGTCAAGTTGCACAGAAATTCATTTGGAATAAAAATGCTAAGAATGTGTTGCTCGTCTTTATGGTCCAGCACAACCTGTATCACCAAATAATATACCAAACCTGTGCTTCCAATTTCAACAAAGTGGGTTAATCCATCACTTTATGTTCCTTCTAGGGATGCAAAGTCATGAGGGTGAAAGTTGAGATAGTCACAGTTGGTCTCCTAGAACTTTTTTGATAATGCTGATTTAAAATGGAAAGAAAAAAATATGTAAAATGTTAATATTATCTGGTAGCTGCAAAAGGTATGAGGAGCATTTATTTCTTTTTCCACGCCCTACGAAGAAAAAAAAACTTAAACCAGCCTTAGGTGATTTGCTGGTCTTAGCTCGTCCAGCAGGTCATCCAGCTTCACTCAGCTAGTGTTTAGCGGGTCTCTCCCTTACCAGCTTACACGAGCCAATAACTCTACAGTAAAAAAAAAACAAAAAACAGACAAGCCTAACCAGGGAGACTATAGCTACAATCTGGTTAAGCTGTTGTCGTCAGCAGGAAGACAACAAAAGACCGATTAGATACAATAAATTGTAATTATAATTTAACTTAAAAAGTAAGTAATATAAACTTGATGCAGGAAGATATATATAAAAATATTTTTAATTAATCTAACGGCCAGATAGTTACATATAAGCTTGCATACATGTAATATTTCTGACATTTAGCAGGCCTAGGTTGCTTTCATTGTATATATCCATCTTAATATTATTTTGTACTAATGAATAATCAAATAAATGTAATTAATTGAATGTAACAGAAAAAAAGTACCTCACCTCAAAAAACGCGCCATTCCGACCACAGACCCTGAGCGATAACTGAAGCTAACATTCCTAACTCCATCCGATTTAGTCACGCCGTGTGTTGATATGTCCACAAAGCATAATGGTGAATGGAAGAAGAGGAAGAGATTAAAACGAAAGGGGTTTAAAAAAAAATAAAGCTTTGTTAAATTGTTGTGTTGCCAACCTAACTCAGCAGGCAACCTGGTCCGGAGGAGAAGAAAAGAGTCCAAAATAATTAACCATGGTTTTACCACAAATAAAACCAAAAAACATGGTTATTATAGTTAAACCATGGTAACCACACATTAACCATGGTTTTGCTACTCTAACCATAGTTTAAAAATGGTATTTGTAGTAAAACTGGTTATACAAATGGTAATCAATACACACACACACACACACACAAAAACATGGTTGCTACACTTTTACTACAATAAAACCATGGTTCATTTTATTAACCATGGTTTTAGTGACACTGCCTCTCTGGTATGGGCTGTTGTTTTTGATTTATGAAGAAATAACAACTTGCTTAATTAAGTTGATCAGCGTAGAAAACAAAAAGTGTAGATTACTTGAAATATGAAGCCAAATCTTGCTGCAAAATCATATCTTTTAAATAATCACATTCTTTTACAAAAATAATCACAAAGTTTAAATCTTAAACCTGGCTCTAAATCCTTGCAGTACCATGAAAGACCTGATTTTAACTGATTACCATGGTTTTTTTACTCTAACCATAGTTTAAAAATGGTATTTGTAGTAAAACTGGTTATACAAATGGTAATCAATACACACACACACACACACACACAAAAACATGGTTGCTACACTTTTACTACAATAAAACCATGGTTCATTTTATTAACCATGGTTTTAGTGACACTGCCTCTCTGGTATGGGCTGTTGTTTTTGAATTATGAAGAAATAACAACTTGCTTAATTGTGTTGATCAGCGTAGAAAACAAAAAGTGTAGATTACTTGAAATATGAAGCCAAATCTTGCTGCAAAATCATATCTTTTAAATAATCACATTCTTTTACAAAAATAATCACAAAGTTTAAATCTTAAACCTGGCTCTAAATCCTTGCAGTACCATGAAAGACCTGATTTTAACTGATTACTTAGTCTACTGCTGTAGCGATACAGACAGAAACATGCTTGAGATAAAACGTCTTTATTTTCTTTTGATGCTTCTCTCTTCTTTTGATGCACTCTGTGAGTTCGGGGCTGAAAAGTTAAATTTTTAGGTCAAGTGAGAACTACATACATAATAACATAAATATACAGGTAGTATGTAAACTAAGCCAATCACCAATATTAGACATTAGAATGTCCCTGAAATAGCCGTTTTTGTTTTTTTGCAGTAAGAGGCAGTGAGGCTCTTCCTGACTACTTCTAGGAGTTTGTCATTTCTGGATGTGTAAAACAAGCCAACCTTCATGGGGCGAGAGAGCTCAGCACTAGATAACAAGACAGCTGTAACTCTATGGACCAACTGAAAAACATCCAGACTGTAGATTGTGCCACTGCAAACACAAACACACCTAGTCGAATTACATATTCCCAAGAACATTCATTTCATATGTAATACTTTGAGCCAACACACATTCATGCTATTGAACACAAGCAGATCAATACCCTCGGCGCCATGAATACCCAGATACACTTGCACCCACACACACTAGGTCTAGGTCTGATAAACTTAGGCATGATGTAATTCTGATGTAAAGAGAGTCCTCTCAGTCTCTATAGTCACAGCTCCAGGAAGTCTCTGTCCAGGTCCCTGTAGGCTTCATCAATGTAGGTGGCAATAGCACAGCGTGAACTTCTACCAGAGCCCAGCAGCACTGAGACCGTCTCCATCCAGTAGGTGAAGGGAATACAAGAACTCTGTTTTTGGAAACAGACAGAAAAGTTTATGCCTTAACAGCTCATAACGGTGACAGAATGTGTGTGTTTGGTCAATCGAGCCGAGCTCACGTTCTCCAGGCAGGTGCTGTCCTTGTCCTTGTTGAGGTAGTGGTGCTGCCAGAAGCGCAGCAGGTTGTGGAAGTTGTTGAGCAGACAGCCGGGGTATTTCTCTGCATATTCCTTCTCTTGCAGTGCGCTCAGGTAGAAAGGCAACTTGCCCCGCCTCCGTGCCAGCATCAGAATCACCAGACTGGTGTTCAGACAGCTCACGTTCTCCTGTGATTGATCAAAATCAGGGCAATCAGTTTTAAAGGGGACATCAGATGAAATTTTCGCTTTTTTTGCATTTAGTTAAACTTCAGCCATGTCTGCCAGCTCAGAAAACTGAAATGAAAACACGCAGCCTGTTTGTTATGAGCTGCATGAGTCTGAAACAGTGTCATTCAGAGAGCTGCTTCAATGTGCAGCCGGTTTCTAAGTAGATAGCTAGCAATTTGAATAAGATCTTCTCCAAGCCATATACGGATATATTCACACATCTTGTGTCGACACGCCCGACGGAAGAGAGGGGTGGGATGAGCAGTAGCTCATTATCATTTAAAGAGACGTGCATCGAAACGGCTCGCTGTGAGCAGAGCTGTTTTTGACTAGGTTAAAAGGGTGTTGTTTTACATGACCATTCAGGAATTTTAACCAAAGTATGTTACAGACATTTCAAGAAGACCCTAAAGAATCATACCAACATGTGGAAAATGGGCATCCGATGTCCCCTTTAAGGGACAATGATATATAATAAAAGAATCTTAAAAATCAAGTTTTCAACACTTGCTCCAAGTTTAAAAAAATGTAATCTTTGTATTAATGTTGGTTTTGATGTCTCTAAAACTGTCATGCGTTGAAACTAGGATGTCAACGATCGATTAATTGTCAATAAGAAATGTAATCGATTATAGCTATCGATGGTTGATTAAGCAAGGTAGTTTTGGGGTGTGTGCGGCTCATGCGCAAAACACGTGCAGCAGAAGCGGCTGTGAGTGACTGTGACGAGGCTGGATCTTTTACGCAAATAATTCACAATGTACAAATTACGCTTTTAATGTGATCCAAACTTTAAAAATACATTAAAATATAAACAATACAAAGTCCATCAACATGGAAAGCAATGGAAATCACCGTTTGTAAATGGTCAGAAAAGCGAATAATATCTTCAGCACGAGCGAGACATTTATATTGTTGAGCTGTTGAGGAAAGCGAAAGTGAATACCGGTGCGTGTGACATGCTGAAAAAACACATTTAAAAAAATTATATTAAAGGGTTAGTTCACCCAAAAATTTTAATTAGACTCTGTTTTACTCACCCTCGAGGCATCCTAGGTGTATATGACTTTCTTCTTTCAGACAAATCCAGTCGGAGATATATTAAAAATTGTCCTGGCTCTTCCAAGCTCTATCATTGAAGTCAGCGGGTGTTGCAGTTGAACAGTCCACAAGTCGTCAAATAAAGCGTGGGCATTCATAATAAAACACTGCTCCGGGGGGTGAATAAAGACCTGTAGTGAATCCATGCGTTTTAGTAAAAAAAAAAAAAAATCCATATTTCAAACGTACTAAACACTTTTCTCTCACTTCCGATATCTGTCATATGCGGAAGCCGTTCCGACAGATGACGCAGCACGTATGCGCAGCACGCGCGCCTCTGAGATGTGCTAGTCTCGCGAGTTTGTTTACAGGATCAAAGGAAGCAAAGTTTCCTTACTTTAGCAAAGGAAAACCAGTCTCCTCTTGGTTTAGATCGAAATCCTCCGACATTTTTCTTTACAAATCCTCGGTATGTACTTCTAATTCATTACCGCCGTTTTGTTTTGTTCTCTCTCCATATTCGTCACTAATCACGCTGCGCATACGTCCTACATCATCCGCCGGAACGGCTTCCGCGTATGACAGATACCTAAAGTGAGAGAAAAGTGTTTATTACGTTTGAAATATGGATATTTTTCTTACAAAAATGCATGGATTCACTACAGGAGGCATTTATTCACCCCCCGGAGCCGTGTGAGGCATGTTTTATTATGGATGTGCGCGCTTTATTTGACGACTTGTGGACAGTTGAACAGAAACACCCGCTGACTGCAATGATAGAGCTTGGAATAGCCAGGACCAGTTTTAATATAACTCCGACTGGATTCGTCTGAAAGAAGAAATTCATATACACCTAGGATGCTTCGAGGGTGAGTAAAACACAAGCTAATTTTCATTTTTGGGTGAACTAACCCTTGAATAACTAATTCCTACAACTAGTTAATTCTTAATTCTTAATTCGTGGCCATGGCATCTTTGATTTCCCCCCTCACATATCATGTCCAGGGCTCTGTACAGATAAACTTGACGTGCCTTGTCTAACAAACACAAACTGTGTTAAAATTGAATGTGACGAGAGATAAAGTCTGAAACCCATGAGATAAGATCTGTCTATAAAATAATTAGGTTAGACTAACAATCTGTCGTTTTGACAAGGAAAAATTGTCTACAGTATTTTTATTTTTACTAGAGATGCGAAAACAGAATTATGATACAATAAGTCATTTAATATCACCCTAACTGTATGTATAATCTACCGGGTGACGTGGATACATATACTCTTTTTTCCAGGCATGTCCCTAAAACATAGTCCGGTCTGGATTTCTAAAATGTCTTGGGCTGGCAAACATGAACAGTAACATCTTCAACAGATCTGATAACAGGCACTCTGAAAGGGAAACGCTTGACATTTTCCAGTATTAATCATATTTGGTGTGAATGGATGGGGCTGATAAGAGCTTGCGTTTGATTGAGACTCGGACAGCAGCTAAGAACACGGAAAGGAACCAGCACACATTACAGTGAAGTCGACACGACAAGCATATTGATCAATGCATTTGAAATGCGACTAGGTGTGTCCATAGGAGTGGAGCTAGTGAAACACACGCCATGCATTGAACATACACAGAAGCATTATGCTCATTCAAACAGCACCTGTCATGTGCCCTCAGATTTTTGAGCTAACTGCATTTTAATGTAACTTCCAAAAACAATATTGACAGCAACAGAAACAAACTTTTCCATTAACAGGTGGTATTATCTCATCCTCCCAGGCATTTTTTTTCACTTAACATTTCTTTCTACTTTATTCCTTCCTTTCTATTATTATTATTATTATTATTAGCATATAACCTAAATACTATCCCAAAAAAAAAGGCCTATATAGGCCTAGCCTATAAATTCCTGTAAAGAGAACCCGTAACCCGTTATCAGATCTGTTGAAGATGTTAAATGTCCATAATAAAGAGTATATGTATCCATGTCACCCAGGCTATACATACAGTTAGGGTGATATTAAATGACTTAACCCGTGATATAAGATTTTGTCAATATTACCCACCTAAGTCATTCATCCCACTATCAACCCACTACAAATGTACACTTCTTGTATTTCGTTTGGGCACCACAAGTGTCACTGTGGCCTCAAAGCAGTCAACTCGCCTACTCTGGCTTGATTGCTATTCCTGAGGTAAAACACGCCCTCCTCATTACCCTACGGGCAAAGAAATGTAGAAATAAATAAATGTGGAAATAAATAAATGTATAAATAAAGAAAAAATAAAATGTGATAAAATAAAAATATAAATAAGTAAATAAAAGTATAATAATTATTTATTAATGTATTTATTTAACTTTTCTTTGTATTTTTATTTCTATATTTATTTATTTTTGCTTTTTTTTAACATTTCTTTGTATATATATTTTTGTATTTATTTATAATTTTGTCAGGTTTGGTATTCCATAGAATCCATAGTATCTCTGTCGTAGCAACCACCGGTGGAAGCGGTTTTCACTGACCGGCAAAGCCTTATGCGCTGTAGTTATAACTTAATTTTAAATGTCAATAATGTTAAATGTAAACATTGCTATTGTGTTGTACAATACAACAACAAGCACCGTGAAATCATTTTAGAAAGGCGCATTCAGCAGTCTCCGTGACAGGATAGGAAACAGCCAACAGTAACCTCCATTTAAAGTAAAATGATGCCAAACGTAACTACGGCGTGCGCACTTCATTTCATCAAATTATCATAATCACATCTATTCATTTTACAATCCTACTACTAGGCTTTTATTTAGACTAAAAACCATTTCATTTGGGTGAGGAAGCTGGTGTTTTGAGTGCCATTTGTACATCCTGTCACTGCCGGTGACTGTTACTGCAATAGATGCATTTTGAAGTATTAAGGTTAACAATTAATCGATTAATTGATTGTTAATTTAAACGACAATCGATCATGGGAATGCTCCCATGACATCCCTTGTTGAAACCAGTACTAACATTTTTCTTTCCTTCCATTTTCCTAACATTAACATTTTTGAATGTACTGATCTTAAACATTATTTCAGGACAATTAAATTATGGTTATTACAGAATAAAAAATTTTCATTCAGAAATGAAAAAACTCATGTTACCCTACGTATGCAATGCATTTTTAGCTTAGTCATTATACAGCTGTTTAACAAAGAAAGTTATGCAAAAATACCTTTATAAAAATCGAGAAATCAAAATAATGACCAAATAATTTGAAATATAGAGAGGAGCTCAGCTAAAACACATCTACTCCTTACGGTGCTCACTAGTGCCCCCATCATTCTTCATAAATGTAGTAGTTTGGACGTCACCATCATTAAAGTGTGTGGAATAAAGGATAAATAAAGGATACAGAGTTGAACTGTCATCCACTCAACTGCACAAGAATGATTACTTCAATATGTAAACTGACATGCAGGTGCAAAGGACTTCAGCTAAAATGAATTGGATCTCTTTTGCTACTGCTCATGTGCCAGTGATTACCCCTCCCTGTGTCAATGTTGGCTCTCGTGCCATAGGTTGTCAACCTCTGACACAAGAAATGAAATCTTATAACTTGCCTGAGTGAGGGTTTGGACATTGATGATGCTGGTCAGTCTAAAAAGGAAGGACAACCTGTTTTCCACTTGAGCCATGTAGGACAAGAGGCGACACACTGAAAACACTTCAACCACTGAGAAAAAGAGACAAAGAAACACATTTTTAAAAACTGACTCATTTTTCATCCATCTCTCAATTAACTGTTCATTCACTTGAGTCAAACCTTTCATATCTTTAGTCTGGCTCTCAAAGCGGTCTAGAGACAGGACTATACATCGTACCAGCATGTTAGAGTCTACCAGGGAGCTGTTGATCTGAGTCAGGAACATCTGAAACTGAGGTGTCAAAAGAGAGAAAGACAGATTTGAGATCTACTGGATCATTTCAGTGTGTTAGCCATAAGAAAAATCACAAGGGTCTGACTGTAAACCTACCTTCTCCTCAGTGTTGACATATTTGTTAAATCTTTTGAAGGCATCGATGTTGAACTTCATAAGCTCACCAAGTAGGTCAAAGTAGCTCTGAAGGACGTCATGTGACTTGCAGCCACTGTCGATGATGCAATATAGAATATGCTGAAAGAAGAGAATTATGAGATGGCTTAATAGTCCTATAACTGTTGTTCAAAAGTTTGGGGTTGTAATAAGTTTGGTAAAATTTCGAAAGATGTCTCTTATGCTCATCGAGGCTGCATTTATTTGATCACATTTATTTGATTTAAAGTAAAAAAATAATATTGTGAAATATTATTACAATTTGAAATAACTGATTTCTATTTTAATATATTTTAAAAAGTAATTTATTCCTGTGATGAATTTTCAGCAGTTATTACTTCAGTCTTCAGTGTCACATAATCCTTCAGAAGTCAGTCTAATATGCTGATTTGATGCATTATTATCAATGTTGAAAACAGTTGTGCTGCTTAGTATTTTTGTGGAAACCATGATAGTTATTTTTTTGCAGGATTCTCTGATGAATAAAGTTTAAAAGAACAGCATTTATTTGAAACAGAAATCTTTTGTAACATCATAGATGTATTTAACGTCACATTTGATCAATTTAATGTATCCTTGCTAAAAAAAAGTATAAAAAAAACCTGCTGAACCCAAACTTGCTGAACGATAGTGTATGTTCACACAGACAATGAAATGCATTACACACATATTTTGCCCACCTCTAACAAGCCTCTTCTGAGAAGGAAAACTTGATCGGCATATGATGGCGTTCCTCTCAGAAAACTCTCCACTGCTCTTGCCTGCCAAAACCTGAAGCGAGTTGTGTCAAAGTCATGGAGAATTGGCATGGAACCAGCAAAGTTGAAAGAAGACATTACAAACTGTAACTGAAGATCTTACCTGAATGAAGAATCAATTGGCTCTTTCCTCATGACCGAGATTAACCGTGTAAGAAGACCTTTTTTACCATCACAGACAAGGTTTCTGTAAAGCAATTAACCAAAGTTAATTTACCAGCCATTCAAAACTTGAGAATAAGGAAGCAATCAATTAATATGATATGAAAAGGGTCCTCATGCCTGTCTGTGTTATTCAGTGCCTCCATTTCAATGATGTTTGCATTCAGGTAAATGTCACTCAGTTCATTCAGCTCCTGTCCACTTAAAAGAAGGTATTTATTCCTGTGAACAATAAAGAAAACATTTAATATCAGTCCAGTTCATTTTTCTCTGTCTCTTATTATTTAGTGTTGCATCTCTTTGTGATACCCACTCATGGTGGTCACTGAAGCTCTGCAGCAGCCTGAGGAACTGGATCTTGAAAGAGATCTCCTGATGCAGAGGGGAAAAGAGCTGTATTCTCACACTGTAACCAACCATATGTAAGAGTCAATGAAATAAGTCAGAGTAATAAAGGGCTGCTCCTTACTGGACTGCAGTCACAGTTCTGGTTCTGCCGATGTAGGACATGACCAGACGTCTGCCTTCTCCAGATCAGTTTATCAAACAGGTTATTGAGACCTGGAATTAATTTGAACTCTGCCAACATTCTGTGAACCTGAGTTACAAGAGTAAAAATCTATGAAAAAAAAAAAGTTTCCAAATACTCTACCTTTCAAAAGTTAAGGGTCAGTATGATCTTTTTTATTTTTGAAAGACATGAAAGATTTCTATTTCAAATAAATGCTGTTCTTTTTAACTTTCTAATCCTTGACCAAAAAGCATAATGATTTCAACAAAAATATTAATGAGCACAACTTTTTTCAACACTGATAAATATAAATAACGTTTCTTGAGCAAATCAGCATATTAGGAGGATGACACTGAAGACTGTATGAAGACATTTACAATCCAACGTCATAATAATGAAAATTCAGCTTTGAAACCACATGTAAAAAATACATTTTGAAATATATTTAAATATAAAACAGTAAATATGTAACAGTTTAAATTGTAATGTTCCATAATTAATATTACTGTTTTACTATATTTTTGATCAAAATAAAAGCATGAGAGGCTTTTATGAATCATGCTTTTATGAAAATAAATGCATCATTCATATATAAATATATATATATATATATATATATATATATATGT